AACAACCCTGCTGGTTGCTGCTTTGGTTGGCGTAGAGCAAGAGTTTTAAAACTGAAGGATGAAGCGGCCATTGTTTGCAGGTCTTCCCAGGCTCTTCTCAGGGGTCAGAAGCTCTGTTTGGGGGCTGGGTGCAGGTCCCCTGGGCTAGCAGTTAGGTACCTTGGAAAAGGAAGTCCAGGTGTCGGCCAGGAGAGGAGGTGCTTCTCAGGAGGGAAGAATTGGCTCCGGGCTGGGACGTGAGTGTCAGGTCACTGAACATGGTACACTGGGGTGTGCGCCTGCGAGGTCCCGGCCCAAGAGGGGCAACACCCTGGGTGGACAACGGATCTGCAGACACAGCGAGAGCAGCTGGCTGTGGAGAGGAGCCTGGGGCCTGTTTTTCTTCTGGAAAACCTTCACGAAGCTGTCAACAGTGCGAGGGGACAAAGGAGGCACAGAGCGGAGGGCAACGTGCAAAGGCACCATGAGGGGATTCTGCTCAGCCTCGGGGTCCTGATGGTCCCCTCTTCCCCACCTGCCCACCAACAGGGAGCCCCCAACCTGTCAGGAGGCGGAGCAAGCCTTGGCCTAGCAGCCCTGAGACGGGGACTTGGGTGTGACATTTGCTGCTCACCTGCAGGTCCCTCGTGGGCAGGGGAGGCGCACCCCTCCCCAGGCTCTCCAAGTGCAGTGTCAGAGTCGATCGGAGGGACCTGGGAGGCTCGGGGGATGCACAGCTCCTATTCCTGTTGGTTGAGGGTCGCCCTTGGGGACATGGGACCCCAGCCACCTTGCTTCCTGTGCTCATGGGAAGTGCCCGCTGTAGCTGTTGGTGTGCTGACCCCAGAGGTGGGCTGCTGGGACGGGGCGCCCAGCTGTCACCTACAGCTGCCAGGGCTAACCCAGGTCTCCTGAGCATGAGGACACCATTCCCGGGGGAAGCTCCCCGGCCGCCCCAGGCCTGCGGGTTGTCCAGGGGCCCAAGAAGGCGCCTGACACCGGGCGGGGATCTGCCAGTCGCCCCAGGGAAGCAGGATGCGCGGCTGGGCTCCAATGCACTAAGTGGCCTTTCTGGTCCTTCGGAGTCTGAGGTCGAGGTGCGGCATCTCCCTGAGTCACCGTCTATTGTGCACAGACGCTGGGGATTCGCCAGGGCACGGGACTTTGAGTCCCCCTAAGGAAGGTCTGTCGGGGACACGTCCGTCGAGGAAGGACCGTGCCGAGAGGCTGCAGAGCGCGGCCCTCCTGGAGCACAGGAGGAGGGGTGCAGGGAGGTGGGCACAGGGACTGCAGTGGTAACTCCTTGCTCTCCTGCCAGGCTGGCCTTGAACTCCTGGAGTCAAGCCAGCCTCCTGCCTCAGCCTCCCAAGGATGCAGGACTACAGGTGCATGCTGGACCTCAGTGTGAAAGCCCATCTGGAGGGGGAACAGGTGACTTCTCACCTGGGCCGGTGACAGAGGCTGTCAGTGCTCCTGCCCCAGGGCATCTGGGAGAGTCAGGTGATCTGTGCTCCTTGTCTGAGGAGGGTAGGGGACCCTGCTCTCTGTCATCCATGGGGCTGGAGACAGGGGACTTGAAATGGTGGGACAGGCAGATGGAGGCTACTTTGGAGAGGCCCCCTGCAGGGAGACCTCTGCTGCCTGCAGGACTTTGCCTTCAGAAAAAAGCCGTGTGACCCAGGGACTTGTTTGTTACTGCGGCATGGCCTCTCCTGATACAGGAAGGCCTCGTACGGACCGCGAACACTGCCGCGACGGTAGGGGCATTGCTTTCTCTTGGCCTGTGACATTGGTACAGGGACCCCAACTTCACAGGCATGAAACAGAAGAGCAGGAAAGGGAGGGGTTTACCTGAAGTCACCAGAGCTGGCATGTGACAGAACAGGGGAGCCAATCCAGCTCTGTCTGGTTCCAAAGCCTTTCCCCCCTCTCGGGCTCCCTCCAGGTGTGGCTTGCGGAACACAGGGTGACTTTGGAGATTTGTGGACAAAATGTTAAACTGAATTAACTGGAACTTATTGAAATGTGTTTTGGAGTCAACATCTGAGCTGCACCTCGACCAGTGATTTCAGGGTCATTACTCCTCAGAGGAAAGTTAACAGCAACAGCAACAAGACGGGCGGCTCAGAGCCGCTGACCGACGGAACAGCGGGACAGTGAAGGTCCAGGAGGGCCAGTGCGGACGGTGGGTGACGACGAAGGGGAGCTGCCACGGGAGGTGCCATCGTTTGTCACATGGTGTCAGATGACCTGGCTCGCTCTGTGGGACGAGAGCCGAGCCTGGAGCAGCGGGAGCCTGGCTGGGGAGTCCTGCGCACTACCCACTGGACCACACTTCCCCGGCCTCTCGGCCCCGCAAATGCTCGCTCTTGTGCACACACCGAGGGCCTTGAGACTCTGGGGGCAGGAGAGGGACCGCCGAGACCCCAGGAGGGGGCCTCCAGCAGGCCCCTCTGTGCCTCCGGCCCATAGCGGACACACTGTTCCCGGTTTTGAGTCCCGGGGAAATGTTTCAGCTTCACAAACACAAATATTGACTTTCTTTCCTCAATGTCCACGCTCAGCGTCCAGGTCCGCCCTCCCCGCCCGCCTCCCTTGAACCCGGCCGTCCCTGCAAGCCTACCTGCCGCATATTTCTGTGGCTCTGCTAATGAGCGGAGAAGCGACAGAGAGGGGCCTGTGTTCCTCCGGGAGCTCACAGAACTGCCATTCAGAGCCCGGCTGAAAGAGCCACTTCACGCGCCAGCTGCCGCCCGCGGCTCAGCCTGCACCGGGACGCGGCCCTTCGTTGGGAGGGGGCCTTTGGCCAGGAGACTCCGGCTCACGTGCCCCTCGTCCTTCTTCGGCCTGGCCCCGGGACAGCATGGTGCCTCCTTTGCCAGGGGTCACCATGGCTGACCCTGATGTGACCCTCGATGGCCGACAGGGCAACGGGGTGTTCATGACGATTTCCTTCTGCCTTCATTTAATGAGGTTCCCCAAGGCAGCGCCAGGCTGGGTCCCAGGGATGCAGGGGGGAGTGAGGCAGGAAAGAGCCCTGGGGAGGCGGGTGACACGCTTCAACTCAATCTGGGAAAGGGATACACACCTACGGTGATCTCTGGAGCTCCTGCAGCCCTTCTGGAGAACAGAAGAGGTCAATGTAAACTTGGAGAGGGGAAGGGCCGCAGTGAGCGCTGCTGGCTTTCAGGTTGGAGAGCAGGAAAGGGCAGGGAAAGCTTCCAACATCTGTTTCCTCTAACATGGGCCCAAAGGGGAGCCACCTGGGCTGTCAGCTGTGACCACTCCCAAACTGGCTGGCGGCTTCGGCTACCCAGCAGACTTCTCTGGGCCTCAGTTTCCCTATCTGACAAACAGGCTAACAGACTCTGTCCTGTGTGTGGACCTCACAGGTTTGTTGGGGAAACAAAGGAGACGGAGGGACAGCATGAGTGACAAGGTGGACAGACGGTCACTGTCACTGCTAAGGGTTGTGGGAGCCACTGGCTGCACCCGGCAGTCATTTTCCAGCCACTATCTGCTTTTCCCTTTGCTGAGGAACAACTTCCAGGGTCTCGGTTCTATTCCCTGGAAAGAGGGCAGCCCTTGACCCTGTCTCCAACTCCTGTCCTCTTGTTGCTTCCTCTCCTGGTCCTGTTCCCACTGCATGATGACAAGCTGAGGCTCAGAGAGGGTGTTGCCAGCTCCAGGTCACATAGCCAGTCGGCAGAAGGGGCTTTGAAATGGGTCTTTCGGGTGGCCATGCGCATGTTCTTTCTGCTCCATCCCATCAACTAGAGGATCTGGATGCAAGACAAGGGACCATTCCTGGGTATGTCCCTGTATTTACAATCTGTGCATTTTTTGATACTACCATGAAATGTCTGAGGCTAAGTTACTTTATAAAGAAAAAAGGTTTATTGAACTCATAGTTCTCGATATTGAGGGGGCCATGTCTGTCAAAGGACTTTCTGGCTGTGTCCCACAGCTGTGCAAGACATCACACGGTGAGAATGGTGTGTGTGCCTGGTCCCGTCTCCCTCCTCTTACACAGCCATAGGATCAACTGGGGGCTCCACCTGATGACCATGTCTAATCCCCATCACCACCGAAGGCCCAACCTCAGAACTCCACAGCAGGACGAGATGGAGTGCCTCATGAACTTTTGGGGATGCTCAGACCACACCCCAAACAGCAGAGGCTTGATCTCCTCCTCCCCCAGCTGTGCCTGGACAGAGGCGAATTCTTGGATACTCACCAGCTCTGGGGACAGGGCAGGAGGCACAGGGAGTGGGCTCAGGGGAGAGGCCACCAAGCTTCACCTGTGGCTGAGAGCACAGGCGTGGAACCTGGGGACAGCTCCTGTAACTCTTCCCCTCCAATTAACCCTGGGAGGTGGGCACCAACATCCCCCTAGCTTCCAGATGAGGAATGTGTGGCACAGAGAGGTGAAGGAACTTGTCTGTGGTCACACAGCGGCTCTGGGTCTCTTCCTTACCATCTTACACGTGCTAAGAGCACAGGTACCTGCTGGTTGCTATTCTGATCTTGAAAGACCATGCCAGGCAGAGTCAGGGGACAGAACGTGCCTGGCATGTGCAAAGCCAGCTATGTCTTAAGGAGAATCCAGGGACAGCTGGGACAGGCAGGGACAGCGAGGCTGCAGGAGGGAAAGTGCTTAAGGAGGAAATTGGGTTCGGAGTTGCGGGTGCAGAAGGGTTTGGCTGTGGGAAGGAGGAGCAGGGCAGGGCTGGGGCCAGGCAAGGGTCCCTGGGTGGCAGCTTCAAGCCATCACGCCCAGCCCCTTCAGGGCCACCCCCGCCCACCTGGGATTTCCTGAATTCCAGCTGCGGCTCTGGTTGCTTCGGCAGGCAAAGGAGCCCTTGTGGCTGGGGCGCGCGGGCCAGGCCTCCTCCTCCGGCACACACACCTCCATTCAGCACGGCCCCGCCCCGGGGACTTGGGGGCTGGGGCTGCTGTCCCCACCTCAGTGGGGTCCGCCCGGCCGGAAGGCTGGGCGGGCAGCGGGGTTGATAAGACGGGGACCCGCTGGCCCCCACCACTGTGCCGGCCGCTGTCCCTGCTGCCACAATCATGAGGGTTGTCTCTGGCACCAGCCTCGTGCTCTGCGGCCTGCTGCTGCTGCTCCAGCCTCCACGGAACCTCGGCCTCACCCCCCAGTCCAGAGGTGAGGGGGACGCGGGATGGGGACATGGCCAGGGGCCCTGGGGGACAGCCCGGGGCTGGTGGCGAGATGGCAGAGGCTAATGGAGCCAGGATGGGGAGGGGCAGAGAGCCAGGAGTGGCACGAGGTGGGATGCTGGCGAGGTCAGGGCAGGCTGGCCGTCAGGGACTGCGCTGCAGGGCCCCCGGCTCCCAGGGCCCGCGGACGTCTGGAGCTGCGCCAGGCCCAGGGCGGGGCTCGGGCTCTTTGATGAATACAGATGGGGGGGGACCAAGAGCCCCTTCCCCTTCTCCCAGCCCCACCCCACTGGGCTCCCACGGGACCACGCCCCTGTGAGTTTCAGCTCTGGGCCCTGCGTCCTAGAATGTGTAGGTCCCCTGTAAAGATGGGGAGACTGAGGCTGGGAGCGGAGGACCTTCCTGAGGCCACGGGAGGCAGCCCCAGAGCCACGGGGCTGAGCGGCTGCTGTGTGGTCTGGCCCACTCGCTCTCCCTCTCTGGACCTCCATTGCCCATGCGCAGCCTTAGCCAGCAGGGAGCAGGGAGCCCGATGCTGGGGGTCTCTAAGGTCCCAGGGACCTCTGAGGCCAGGCTCCCAGTCCAGGGCCCCGTGGTTGGGGGTGGGCACTGCCCCACCCAGCTTCCCCCCTTCTTGATTCTGCACCCCCATCTGGAACCCGGGCGTTCTGCAGACGGGGAGGGAGAGCCCTCTGCACCAGCTGGCCTGACTGCAGGCCCCGAGGCGCGAGCGCTGACCTGATTCTCCCACTGGGCAGATGAGGACTGAGGCTCAGGGAGGCGCTGCCACCTGCTCAGGGCCACGGAGTGGCTGAGCGGGGACCTAAGCCAGGCGCGCCTCACTCCACATCCTGAAACTCCCCGGAGTCTGGAGGGACGCGGCTCCGTGGGGTTGTCTCTGGCCCCGGCTGGTCAGGCTGCCAAGGTGGCCACCGGGAATGCCTGCTCCCTTCCCTGGCCCTGGAGCCCTGAGCCGGGTCTGCGGTGCCCCCTCGCTTTGATGCTCAGGTGAAGGGGCCGGGCCCACCCTCAGCGCCCCCTGCCCAGGGTTGAGGAGTGGCTCTCCTGCTTTTGGCCACCAGCCAGGGCTGAAAAGGAGCATTTCAAGGCTGTGAGCACTCAGGTGACAGCTGCGCAGGCTGGATTCCCGCTGCCCCGGGCTCCTCTTTGGAGGCTCCTGTCAGGAAGGGGTGGTCAGCTCCCTGCCCGGGTGAGCAATGGGGCGGGAGACGGAGTGGGCTGCCCGAGGCTGGATGGCTCCCGACCTTCCTTCGGGCTCAGAGGTGGCCTTTGCATGCCACATGCCAGAGCGTCCACACACGGAGTGACAACAGGACCTGCCAACCCGAGGCCTCGGGTCTGGATTCTGGCAGCTCCGATGCCCGACGCTGGGCCTCTGACCTTCGCGCTCTGCCTTCTGCGTCCCCTCCCAGGGCACCTCTGTCGGACGCGGCCCGCGGACCTGGTGTTCGTGGTGGACAGCTCCCGCAGCGTGAGGCCCGTGGAGTTTGAGAAGGTGAAGGTGTTCCTGTCCCAGGTCATCGAGTCGCTGGACGTGGGGCCCAATGCCACCCGGGTGGGCGTGGTCAACTACGCCAGCGCCGTCAAGCAGGAGTTCCCGCTGCGGGCCCACAGCTCCAAGGCCGCGCTGCTGCAGGCGGTGCGCCGCATCCAGCCGCTGTCCACAGGCACCATGACCGGCCTGGCCCTCCAGTTCGCCATCACCAAGGCCTTCAGCGACGCGGAGGGCGGTCGCTCCAGGTCCCCCGACATCAGCAAGGTGCGCGCAGGGGCTCTCACTGCCTCTGGCACAAGGGTGGCCTGGAACTGAGGTCCCAGCCTTCTCCTCTGGGCTAAGGGCTTCCACTTTCACCCACATGACATGCCTTTGAGGGGGTCCCCTCACAGTGGGGGGAACTGAGGGACGGGGGAAATCATTTGGCAGAGGTCTCCAGCTGAGCCACAGAGCTGGGGTGGGGACCCACCACTCCCCCCAGCAGCTTGCAACCTGGTGAGCACCGGATCCTTTCAGTTCCCCTGACCTTGGCCCCAGGCAGTCCAAGCTCCTGGCAGGCAGAGACAGGCCAGGTGCATGGCAGGGAGGGCGTGGACTCTGCCACCTCCTGCGTGGGTGCCAGCCCACTCCCTGGTGCTATCGGCACCCCCTGAGCCGGGTACTTCCTCTCACAGGGCCTCAGTTTCCTCACTTGTGAAAAGGGGGTCACGATGCTGCCCTAAGGACCAAGGCCACAGGCATAAGACGCTCAGGAGACGCCTGGCACCCAACCAGCCCCGTCGCATCAACTAACTCTTATTGATAACCCTTTGAGGGCAGGGCTCAGAGAGGGGAACGCACCCCACGCTGCCATCAGCAAGGGCCCCAGGAGGCGCTGAGCGCTTCAAGGGCTTTGTACCCAACTGTCATTGTCTCAGGGCTCAGCACGGGGCCTGCAGGGTGGGCCAGGTGTTCTTTCCCCGTCGATGTCCCCGCAGTCCCCTGCACTTCTCCATTTGCAGCCTCCTTGGCCTGAGTGGTCACTGATCACATGCCCAGGGCTTTCACACCCTCAAGACCCCCCTCAGCACGGGTCTGATCCACAGCCCTGCGGGAGGTGGGGTCCCCATCTCCCGGAAGTGCTACAGCAGCTCGCCTGCTCCCGAGCTGTGGCAGCCCATCCCAGCCACCACCCGCCTTGGAGAAATGACACAGGCCGCCTGTTGGTCTCATTTTGTGGGCCACTCACAAGCTCTAAGGAGGTGCTGTAGCTGTGGCTGAGAGTCGCGGCTGAGGATGCGCTGGCCCCAGGTAGTCCTAATGGAGAGGTGGTGAGGCTGTTGGTGGTGACACCCTGTGGCAGGCACAGCTCCCGAGTTGACTGTTTTCCCCAGGTCAGAGCAGTGGCCTGGGGCAGGCAGGGACCCAAGGCAGAGGGCGGCTCTGAGCTTGGCTGCAGCTCAGAGGCAGGAGCTGAGATGAACAGTGGCCCCTTCCTGGCTCCCTAGCCCTGCCACCCCTGTGGGGCAGCAATCCTCACCCTGCCGACTGCCCAGGGTACTGAGGCCGAGGCTGGCCAGGGCCAGGTGCGGGTGGGGGTGGGGGTGGGGACCCCGCGGAGCTCCAGCCGGCTCAGCACCACCCTCTTCAGGTGCGGAACCCAGGAACCTTGGGGAAGCCTGGGTCCTTTTCCCCAGTGGGAGGACCATGGAGCCTCCTGGGAATGGGGAAGACGGGGCACCTCTTCCTTCCGGGTGTTGGTTCCTTGGGTGGCTGCGGTGGGGCTCCCTCCCGGATCTCAGGGGTCCACTCCACAGACTGGAGGCAGCAACCCCATTTGTTAGCCTCGGCTGCCCTCCGGTGGCCACAGCCAGGACCGCACCGTGCTGAGCGCGCTCGCTTGGCCCCCAAAGGGAGCCGCTGGGAATGGCCTGGAGATTCCTTCCACACGGAGACTCTAGTTACCAGGCCCTCATGGAGGGCACCGGGGGGCATAACCCAGGCCGCGCCCACTCGGGTATGGCTCTCATACCCTGAGGGGGACAGAAGCTCCACTTTTGATGAGAGAGACATGGCCCTACCCTGTCTTGACACTTGAGCCACGTCTCCTGCAGTCAGAGAGCCTGCCTCCCCTCCGGCCAGCCAGCTTCTCTTTCCCAGACCAAACCCAGGCGGGAGAAGGAGCCCCTGCACCGACAAGCTGTGTGACTCTGGGCCAGTCGCTTTGCCTCTCTGGCCTCCAGCTCCTCTTCTGTTAATCCCCACGGCTTCCTGGAGAGCCAAGCCAGGGGAGGGAGGGCTGGTCCTCACATGCCCCCACGTGTCGCAGGTGGTCATCGTGGTGACGGACGGGCGGCCCCAGGACAGCGTGCGCGACGTGTCTGCAAGGGCCCGGGCCAGCGGCATCGAGCTGTTCGCCATTGGCGTGGGCCGCGTGGACAAGGCCACACTGCGGCAGATGGCCAGCGAGCCCCAGGACGAGCACGTGGACTACGTGGAGAGCTACAGCGTCATCGAGAAGCTGTCCAAGAAGTTCCAGGAGGCCTTCTGCCGTACGCAGGGCTGGGGAAGAGCGT